TCCCATTCAAAAATTGTTACTTTGAAGTGATGTAGCATTTTCAACCCTTTGAAGCGCCACAATTAGGAGGGGGCTGGTGCAACCTAAAGGCAAAACACTGGGTGACTATCATGGCCTTTCTCTCCCCATGCTTTTAAGAGATGAACTTTTCCTCCCTGCCTGCCTGTTTCTCACGAGCCACCTACCGGGGGATGGGATAGGGGGTGGTTGGGGGATGCAGAGACTTAGCACTCCACATGCCAGGAAGGAGAGTGTCTCCAGTTTGCTTTGCCCACCAACAAGTTCTGAAGTCAGTGCTGCTGTGGGCCAGTGGGGTTGCACCACAGTGAATGCGTTGAGACTTTCCAAAGACAGGGCAAATTGCCAGTCATTCCTGTAAAAGCATCAAGGCTGAACCAACTATCAAAAAGTCCCAGCACAGGTGCTGGAGCACCCTGGGGTGCTGAGAGCAGCCTGGGGCACAGCTGAACGTGCCTCCTGCTGGCATGGCTTCCACAGAGGTGCCAGAGCTGGCTGTGTACTAGCCTTTCTGCATCTGGTAGCACTGATGGACCACAAACAGGCTCTGAGCAAGGGACAGGCAAGGATCTTGCAGAGCCCAAGCCAGAGAAGACAACCAGACAGGCAGTAGTTCTCTAAGCACTTGGTTAACTAGATTTTTCTTGAAAGCAGAGCACTCTGCGTTTAATGCCTTTTCTATGCCAAAATAGATTAGAAGAAAACAAGATAGCAAGCCAAGCTCTGCACAGAAATAGCTTCCTTCAACAAGAGAAAGCCATGAGGAGAAGCGCCGAAGAGTCGTAGCACGGCTGAAGCCAAGATTTGCACAGATGACTCTGGTGCTTTGCTCAAGAGACAACGTAGACAACTGGGCAAAAGCTTTGAAGCTTTTAAATTTGTGGAGTTGTCTTTCCTGAACCTGCTACCTCCTGGCTTGGGACCCTAAAAAAATCCCTAAAGGAGCAGGGCTTCTTCTGAGATGTCCCCACTCTGGACAGCCCAGGTATCTTCTGAGAACAGCCCGTGTTCTTCACCAGATGCCAAAAATTGGAGAAAATGGGAAACTGAGGTCATTGTTTTTTCTCCAAGAATGAATTTTAGTGTCCCAAACAGATGCAGAGCTTCAAGGAAAAGCTGAGGGTTGTTGAGGGACACTTACTCAGAGAGCAACAATGATGAATCCAGCTCTTTGCTGACAGGCAGCAAGTAGGACTGGGTTTGGGGCTGGTTTCTGATATGATAAGTGAGCAGTCCCCAAACATGCATGGCTGTCGGGTTGCTTGATGGTCATGGGCTGGTCTGCAAAACACTGCAGGCCAGTGACCCTGAGAATATATTCAGTGAAAGCTTTGACACTGAGTGTGGTTGTTCGTTGGCCAGGAATGGGGAGGCTGGCCACGTCCCACTGGTTTGGACACTTTGGGAACCACCATGATTGCTGGTTTCCTGTTGCTCTGAGATTTCCTCATGAAAAGATTTTGCATTTTCTTGTATCTAACATCAGCTTTAAGCCCACATTCTCTAGCCTGTATTGCTCCCATACAGGGGAAGGAAATGCTGGTGTATCCTCACTGGGGAGGGAGTAAGGCAATCGGAGCGGGAATTGGGTGTCATGAACCAAGGATGCAGCGTGCCTGGCACCAGCATAACCCAGTCCTTGCAGGCTGTAGGGCAGCCCTAGTGTACGTGGGCTTTGGTTGCAATTTGTGATCTGTGCAGATCCCAGGGGGTTGGGCAGCATCTTGCAGTCTGTGCCACGTGGGACCCTTCACAGTGGTGTGGGGCTGGTGAGACAAGATGGCTGTTCCAAGGCAGGCTTTGATTGCCGTGGGGACACGCAGCGATGCAGGTGACCCAATCCTGCTCAGTTTTCCCCATGCAGCTGCGTAATTTTTTTGCAGAGGCTCATCACTGCATGCCTGGGACCCTCTTGTTTCCAATCCTGAGAGTTTTCCCTGAAAAGCTTCCCCAGGGGTTTGAATCCCAGGCTCCATCCTCCAAAGCCTTCCTTGTCAAGTGGGTGGGCTCCTGGGGACCACTGCTGACCCTGCCTCCCGACTTTCATGTCCCCAGCCTCAACCTTGCTTTCCCCAGCTATAATTCATGGCTCCTGAAGGCTTTGGGATCCGGTTGGAAGAGCCAGCCAAGACTGCTGGTTTCATTTCCCTCCCACAAGGCTAACTCCTGACAAAGCTCCCTCTTATCCTCACAAGGGGCAGGTTGAGAGTCCCAGAGATGTCACTGGAAAGATGCAAGATGCCTTTTGTTGTCTAATTGATGCCCAGGCAGGACAAGCTCCCCCTGCCAAAAATGAGTCATCCCAGAGTAATAACTGCAAACTGCCTCCCTGTGTCACTTGCTGCCAGACATCCTGATGGATGACAGTCAACTGAGCCCACAGCTTCCGCCTTCCGGATCCCAGGAATCCGTCGGGCCGCGGTTACAGGCCGTGAGCAGTGAGAACCTGCACTGAGCTGCCAAAAATGTCGTGGGTTTCGTAGCACTTTGTTTACAACGGCAGTAGTCGGTTGGCTGGAGGCAGGAGCCCACAACACAGCACGTACGTGCTGGCCTCAGGCAGAAAGCCCACAACAGGCCAAGGGCCAGGCCAGGGCTCAGGGTGCACAGGAACCCCTCATCTGCCACCGTGGGGCATGTCTCCAGGCTGTTGGCAGTAGTGCCCCTCTTCCAGGGATCCAGTGCAGGAGCAAGGAATTAGGTGACAGGAGGGAGATGGCATGCCAGCCCCAGTGCCCAGCACACTTGGGCAAACCAGGATAGCTTTTGATTTACTGATTCACGTCTCCAGGACTCTGGCTAATCCCACTGCTCTTAAGGCAGGTTCGTTAATGAGTCTCGGCCATAGGGACCTTGTATCTGCAGTGGCACACCACAGACTGTGATTGCCAGTGCTCCAACACTCCTCACGTGCAGCATTTCTTATCCAAGCTCTACCCAGAACCAGTTCCATTTGCAGTGTCCCGGTAGCTCTCGGTAAGGTAAACTGAGGCCACAGCAGGGTTCCTCCTCCCACATATCCGGAGTAGCATCCACTGCAGGTGCCCCCACATAGCAGTGAGGAGACAGCTTGGGGACTTTGCTCTTGCACCCCCTCTGCCCCCGACACAGCCAAAGAGCTGTGTGAATGGGGGAGAAGCCAGGCAGGCTGCTGGGGAGCAGGAGGCAGCTGCCTTGGTGTCATGCTCAAGGCAGGCAAATGGCTGGATGCTTGTCGTCGCCTTCTCCCATATTTATAGGACTCTTCCTCCCTGGGGAGCAGGGTAGAGCCCAGCCTGTACTCCCTGCAAGGATGACAAGCCTATCACAGGGGTTGTCCACGTGGGATGAGCTGAGTGCAGACCCCACTCATCACACCAATGGCTCATTATTTATCTGCTGTCTCCTGTCCCTGCAGGCCACCTGACAAGAGCTGAAGAGAAGCCAAGCCAAACCTGTGATGCTGCTACACCGGCCCATGATTCACCCCAGCCCATTTACAACCCAAACTGCCAGTGTCTGGAGGATTCAGACCTCACTGGGGAGTCTGTGATGCTGGCAAATGGCACGGTCCTGCAGGTCTCTGCCATCCCGCCTGGGGTGCTGGACAAAGCCGAGCTCACCTACTTCTACTGCTGCACCTGCTGCGGGAAGGTGTTCTGGGAAGGGTCTCATTTTGGACGCGTCGTTTCTCAGTTTAAGGATATTCTTTCTGCCATGGAGGATGACCACAGCTTCTATGACCTGAGCTGAGGGGGATGTTGGCTGTGTGGGAAGGCTGAGGAATGGGCTGGGGAGCCTGGGGGATGCTGACTCCCCGATAAACCTCAGCAGGTTTTCCAGGCCATGGGCTTTCCTTTGAGGTGAAGGGTTGGAAGCTGGGCTCTTAGGGAGAGCCTTGTTTTGGGGTATACGGTGGAGGGGACTGCCATGTTTACACTGACGGGGCAATGGTATGCAACAGCCTTAAATCACGTGGCCTCCATGAGATCATTAAATCAGAGGTGTCCAGGAAACAGATCCTTTTCTTTATTGCACAGGAGCTGTTGGGCCCCTCACCCCGGTTTGTCCTCTCAGAGGAACCTCTACCACACTGTCTCGCACACTGTCTCCCTTCAGGGCGGGCACAAATGCCACCCACGTGGTGCCGACCCTGCAGTACCTGTCAGTCCTTGGCACCCTCACCACTCCTGGAAGAAGAGGGAAGCCATCCCTTCTCCCCTGCCGCCTGGACTGCCTCATGCTGCATGGGCATGTGCTTCGTGGTTTCTCTTCCCCGACCCTCCGTCTTTCCTTCTCGCCTGGGCCTCCTGGAGCAGCAGGGCAGAAGGATGCTGCTACTCCTGCCAAGGGGCATTTGCTCCCCAGGGCTGCCCAGCTCCATCCTCGCTCCCCTTGTCTTGGGATCCGTCTCTGGTGGGCAGCATGAGCAGAGGGGAGATGAGCAATACTGGTCTGGCTGGCCTGGTGAGCCTTGGATAGAGAGCCCCAGTTTCCAGCATCAAGCAGCCCCAAGCGCCTGGGAGCTTTGTGTGATGTGCACAGAAACGGCAGCAAGGTGTGTGGTCCTGCCATCGTGGGGAACTGGGGCTGCTGGCAGCCACTGCCCCAAGGAAGCTTGGGGGGCTTGG